CCTGCTAAATGTGAGATGTGTTCGGAAATTTTCAACTAGTATTAAATACAAAAACTACAGAAACGTTACGACAATAAATGATAGCTGATAGATCAGAGCTGGAGTAAAATAAATGTTTTAGGAAAACCGCCTGCTTTTGATTGCCTTATTGAGGTGTTGGAAAAAAGCATTCTAAGTAAATCAATGAATATTTTGGTTGCTAGGATACCTTGACTTCTAAAACAACGTTGAACACTCGTGAGCTGCTACAAGGCATTGCTGTGGTCCTTCAGCCCTCATGCTCTTGGACATTTCTGAATCCCTACAGTTAATTTCCTAAACCGCTCTGAATTTGTGGAAAAAATACAAGTAAATAATTCAAATTATTTGGGAACCGACATTTTTGAAACCTATGCTCCCAGGCGGTACATTCTGTGCGCGGTAATCAGCTTTTAATTCCTATTTTTTTTTACCAGCTATTCATAACCATAAGACAAAAGAAACTTAGTTTACAAAAATTGTTGTACACCTATGGACTATAAAAGCAATGAGTTGGGAAAAACGTACAATAGGTAAGATAACAATAAAATAAGAAGGAATTTTTACTGTCATGAGGTTCTTTACTGTAAGCCAGTTCTTACTAAAAACTCCGAATTCTTTCCTCAAACTCAAAAGATTTGACTTATTATATTTCGGCAGCGACTTTCACAAATATGATGATCAATCCAAGATCCTCCAGTCTTCCTAAAATCCTCTGGTGCGGCATCCACTATGAGGAACCGCTGTTCCACAAGACGTACAGAAGCAGCTTCTGGCAAGTGAAACATGCAAAAAAAACACTTTTACACCAGCTTTCTTCTACTTTTTGTTTTATTTTTATTTTTTAGTTATCACAAAAACAATATTTTACAGCATAGATGAATAAGGAATCAAATACATCAAAGTAGCAAATGTGAGAACGTAAAGAAAAATGAATATAACAATAAAAATATATAAAACTGAACCTTATTCTTATGTTATTTTTTCCCTCAAACAGAAAAAAAAAACAAAATAACAGTTTCATGAGGAAAAAGTGGACTTGAACCGTGACTCGTAATGCAATACAAAGATGAATAAAAACATAAGAAAAAAAAAGAAAGAAAAAATACAGATTTTTTATAGAGTGCCTAACAAAACAGTCTAAAACGCACAAATAAAAATCAAAGTGGAAGAAGAAATAATAACAATAATGGAGTAATAATAATAATTAATAATTAATAATAACTAGTGATAATAAAAATCAAAATAAAACTAAAAATATTAATGTTAATATTAATATTAACAATAATAATAATATTGATATTAATGATAATAATAATGATATTAATATTAATATTAATACTAATATTAACAATAAGGTCAAAATCAGCGATCTTGATAATAACAATAGCAACTAAAACTCGTAAATTCTGGGGACAAAAATTCAAAAAATGCTAAAAAAATAAGTAGACCATATCCCCCGAAATAACTGGGAAACAACCTGTGAAAATAATTCAAGAATGACTTTTGGCCTCAGTTGGAAAGCAATAACAGATTTCAGTGATACCTTCCAAAAAGTGAATTTTGGTAGAAAAAGACTTTCCAAAAATTTAAACTTTAAGTCCATCTAATACTGTACCCATCATCTATCATCCTTTTTTAGAGTCTTCCATTATAATTTATTTCCTTATTAGCACCAAAAATGATACGCTCTCCTCCCATGCCATAAACATTAATGTTCTTCATAGCAAAAACATAGTTTATTACATGAACGCCCTAATATAACGAAAAAAAGCATTTCAAATACCCACTGACAATTATCTGCCCTGAAAGCTCAAACCCAAAACGATCGCAAATTGATGCACATTCAAGTGGGATAATTCAAAAAAAAAACCGCAGAAACAGATGCAGGAAAACACAATAAGAAAATTAGAAACCTCTCTGAACTCTCTGTGACAAAGCTATAAAAGTTGAAAACTTCAGTCACAACAGACCTACCTGCACCACTAACAAAATTTTATAGAAAAAATTGAGCGACATACTAAAGAGAAGGGACTCACTTAGCACATGTATCCCACGCTAAAAACAATAAAATCTTGAACATCAAAAAGTTTCATTGCAATCGACTTTCTGTAATTTCCCTTTTGCCGAAAAAAAATAAATTTTAATTTTTTTTTTCAATTCTCAACTGTAACTACGAAATCTGGAAGTGACAAAAGCTGATTTAATAAAATTCGAGAACAGACTACCTCAAAAGCATCACCAAATTTTTACTACAATTGATGCTCAAGTTCAAGCTTCTAAAAAAAACAAACAAATATTTCAATTAGCTACGAGTCTATATAATCGACAAGTAGCTTCAGGATCAGGAGATACTTCAAATACGAACCCAATTACCATCAAAGTTTCTTCGGTTTCCTTATTAGTAACAATCTGAAATAGATATTGATTACAGTAAACAAAATTTAAGTGGTGTCCACAGCAAATCCTCCTCCCACGCAACAAGTTTAATCCAGATTAACCAAGGCTGAATAACAAGAGGAACCCAGACACCAAAGTTTGAGAAACCTTCATACTCTCCACCAACAAGAATATTAAATGTGTAATGACGTAAATTTTCGACTAACATGATCGGCAAAAGACTGCCACCTACAAACCATACTAAAACTGATTGAAGCTGCTTAAAACTTGTTAAACCTATTCATCTATTTTCTTTTTTTTTTTAGAATAAGCTCCGTTAATAGAGAAGTAATGCGCAAATTTAACCACCTGATCATGATAATTAAGTAGAATGCGGCACTCAGATAAGATAATAATTAGTCGTCATAGAGTTTGTTAAGACTACTAACAGCGATCTGTGTATGCTGCTCAGAAAATTGCTTGGTAGATTCTAGTAACCATAAAATAAATACTACCTTAAAACACTCTTTTTGTCTTCTTAAAAGACACCTGAATAAATAAATTTTATCTCGTGTTTGACCAGCGCGATATTATTATTAATTTAAAGAGTCGAAATCTTATGTACCACTGCTAGCTTTCGCCTACAGCCTGACAAGTGCACAGCATAAATCTTTTCGGAGGTATTCTCACAACCAAAAAAACTTATCTCCAAAAGCAACAATAATTTCGCCATACTATGCCAAGATTTTCTATCAACTTTTTCGGCTTTAAAAAAAGTCTTTAGTAAAGTTTTCAAACTGGGAACTCGTTTGAAGATTTACGCGTACGAAAGTTGAACAGCATGAGAATAGCGCCACAAGTACAGCTTACATGTTATTGATTTGAAGAGGAATTTTATTGCTCAATTAAAACTCTGACATTTCTACTCATACTTCCTTCAAATCAGAAAAAATAATTCAAACCTGCAAAATTGTGAAGTTGTCCAACACACTATTCATCAAGCCATAGTCATTCAGTTTTTTTAGTTCCGTTACAAATTCTACCATATACTCGCACATGGGTGACCCTTCCAGTTGAAAATGATATTTCCCATTCACTTCTATAGGCGAATATACCTTTAAAAAATTGCGGTTTTATTTAAGACACACCCAGTTATTTTTCAAAGAACTTATATGTTCAAATAACTGATAAGTTTTAAACTTTTACAGTAAAATCTGTAAATAATAAATTAAAGCAAAATGTTCAAAAAATCATTATCTGCAGTCATAACAGTTATACTACAAAACAGCCATATGTAATTTTAAAGCACAGATGAACAAACCTCAATTTTTTCGATAACCTGGTTTCCAAATGAGCAAACTTTTGTAGATACAGATATGTCGAATTTCTCACGACTTTCATAAAAACTGTCAACTGCGTAAAGTGCTGACCGATCGTTCGGTAAAACGAACTGAACATTGGCCCAGCATTTAACAATGAAAAAACAATCCTGAGGACCTTTCTTATACAGATCTCGTAACGTTGAGGGGTACTTGTCGGCAAAAAGTTCTAACTTTACTGTCTAAAAAGCTTGCTACATACACTGATTATATCTTTCGCACTTTTCTTGTTCAGTAAGTAAGTTATGTGACAAATGAATTAATACACAAATGTAAATTAGCAATTAAGCTAGCAAAATATAAATTTCTACTTCAATTTTGAAACAAATTTCAAGTACATTTACGACATTACAAAAACAGCAAAATGATCAAAATCATGAAACTGTCAAAACATTTTACCTCCAATGGCTCGTCGGCTAATTTTGGAATTTTAACGAGATCCACTCGAGAGGAGGGTAAGTTGGGAATTGGCTCTACGTAAGCAGTAAACCCGCACAAAGCAAGTTGCGATGAAGCAATCGCCCGGTCGTATATTACCGATGAGCTGGGAGCAACTTTCAAAGCATTTATCGCGGATAAACCGTCGCAGCCGTTTAGCCTAAAACTGATGCCTGGCCAGTGACATGTAATATCTAAGGTTTTGAAGCAAAAAGATGGGAGAGTAGACACCGGGATAGACTAGAAAGAAAGGAAAAGTAGAAGATGACCCACCCAGCTATCCGATGATACATTTTGAGTTCCTCATTCGTCGGGAATGATGTGGCCGGACTGCCAGCAATGAAGTTGTTTGGCCATACTTGGGGATAAATTGATGGTGGTGTATTCTGCTTTGGAAGCGAAACCATTGGAGTGGGGGAACCATGTAACAGTTTATCTTTCTCCATAGATCCAGGTGAAGGCGATGCCTCTGCTGACTAAAACATTTTTTATACAAATTAATCGTTCTTCTTTTCTGCAACTTCTATACAAATAAGCTTCTTCTACAAAAACTGAACGTTCTTCAAGACCAAAAAAATATGTTATCCAAAAAAATACTGGCGTAATAAAACAATAATATTACAGTAAACTTGAATATTACAGCAAAAGGTAGATAAACTGTCAGAAAGGTATCGGCTTAGAGTTTCTTTACTCTTTTTTTACGTAACTTCTCAACTTAAACCGACCAATTCAAGGCAGAGCTTCAAAAATTTGCTGTCTTTTCATTCTTATTTCACTGCTACCTACTTATTACAAGCTTAAGAATATACACTCTCAAGAATAACCCAATAAATCATAAAGAAACAAAAAAAACACGCTTCTCCATTATAATCCCATACGCAGACAAGAAAAAAGAGAGGGAAGTTAAAATAGAGTGAGTTACAACTGGAAAGGTACTCTAGCCATGAAGGCCACAAATCATTTTATAATTTTCTCTCTACATAATACTTGCAGAAAAAACAAACCTACCTATTTTAACTTCATCAAAATCAATCATTTTGAAACGCTTAAAATCATAAAAAATTTTTTGCTTTCACTTATAACAGTTCAAAGTATCCGCAGAAAATTCTTTAAAAAAACCAGTGAAGTTCAAATATGGTTAAAGGCTTCCCACTAAGTGCATTGCAGTTGCACAGCTCTATGCTTCACTATAAACATCATTTTAAATATTCTTTCCTAAGCGCTTAAAAAAATTTGAAGGAAGTGTGCAAAATTAATAGAAAACCGTTCGAAGAGTGCGGCCAAAATCCTAAGACAGTTACAACGTGTGCTAGATTTTCACTCAAACTTCACCTTCGTTTGCGCCTGGGATTATAACTAGAAACCACCAAAAAAAATAACATACTTTCGTTTTTGCTTGTGACTCACGTAGTTTTTTCCTCGCCAACACTTGAATATGGGAGGAGACCTGCTTCCGAGTGCGTGTTTTACCGCACCGAATTTTTATGTATCTTGCAATCAACTCGTTTCGGCCTGAAAAACAATTGAATAGAGTACTTTTTCAACAGAAGAAAGACAAAAGTGTTGAAACCAACTGTGCCATTAGCTCACTTCCTCTTTACTTCTGAATTAAAACTGCCAATCTAAAAAAAAGTTGAATGTAAGCCCATCTTAATTAGGCTGCAATAAAGGCAAATTTAAAAAATTTGCCAATACTTTGCCGGAATTCCCTCTCATCCTAAATCGGTAAGCGTTGTATTGGCAATGTTGTGCCTTTACAATTTTGAATCGTGTCCTTTTTATAAATCACAATTCTTTGTTTAAGAAGGAGCTCCTTACATGAATGAAAAAGTGGCAAAAGGAAAAGTGATTCTTCTATAAATATTAAAACTGCATTTGAATTAAATATTAAGGTGAAAAAAGTCAAATACAGGTCACACTAGAAGCTTGACAGTGTCGATAAAAACTTCAGAAACAGTAAGTTGTTCAAAACTAGGAAACTAGTAAACAATAAGAGGTCGAAAAAGTTAGCTGAGACACATCAGAGCAGAAGTACCAAGAAGTCTGCGGTACTGTTAGGTGAATCACACAAAGCAGTATTCAGCAGCATCAATTTATTGAGACATAAAAATTTTAAGGACTTTCTGCATCATTTTTACCTTTAAAAAATTGTTTTCCAGCTGTAATTGTAAAAAAACTACGAAAAACAGATTTTTGCGGCACTCAGTTAAGTTCTTATACAAGAATTGACGCTTTTTGTTACTGATTTTTACAGTGCACTAATATCTTCATGAAACTGATATAAGGTAAAGATGCTTTGCTAAAAACTAATCAGACTGGCCTGGCACTATGCCTTCAGAATGTTAAAGTAAGTTTCAAAACTAAAGGTTGTTTAAATGACACAAAAAAAAACAGATATGAGCAGTTTGAAAATTTGATTCTTCAAAGTATAGCTCAAAAGTACTGTTCATTATTCTTCTTTTCACCTCAAACGCAAGATTTGTTTCTTGAACCAAAAAGTGTTAATATTTTTGAAGAAGTTTTTGAATGAACCACCATTAACTGCATCAAACGCAATTTTATATTTTGATAGAAAAAAAGACGGAAGTCCTTGAAAAAATAGCAATAAAACAATCTACCTGTTCATCATTATTTTTCACTATCAACAATGCTAGAAGAAAAAGAAGCAATTCCTTAGTGACTATTCTTGAAGTATGATTGACCAGAAGATAGACAGAAAGAAAGAAAGAAAGAAAAAAAAGAAAGAAAGAAAGAAAGAAAGAAAGAAAGAAAGAAAGAAAGATAGATAGATAGATAGATAGATAGATAGTATTAGTTATTGGTATTACTGTTATTATAATATCATTGATAATAATAATAATAATAATAATAATAATAATAATAATAATAAAAGTTACCAAAAACAGGGAATGGTTTTCAATATAATCAATCTCATAGTTGATATAGAAAAACTGTTAGGGAGTATAAGAAGAAAAAAGAAAGAACAGAAAGTTGTTAACTAACTTATAAATATTTTAAAGCTTACGCTAGTGAATGTCGTCTACTAAATACACAACCAAAAGGTTTTACAGATACTCAATTTTGATAATAAAAAACCTATTCGTTTCTTTGAATCATGAACAACTTTTTTTTTTCGACATTTTTGCAAAAAGGCAATAATCGTCAACAAAATTAGTTTATTTTTTTGCGTAGTTAAAAGAAATTGTTGCAAAGATCTCGAAATTTTTTTTCACTAATAACACTTACAGTACCAGATTTTTAACCTATACTTTTTAAAAAGAATTCACGGTCTGTTTAAAGAACCCAGCTATAATTTCAAGAAACTTATTGGCGTTTGTTCTTTTCAAATAAATACATCAATTGTCCGTTCCTCAATGAAAAAATTCTCAGTCTGCCACCCCGCAGGAATATCATAACTTATCCAAACCGTATAAAAGATGCAGATGAAGCCTAAACCAACCTCTTCTCCCTGTCTTCAACTGTTTCAAGAAATTGATAAATAAAGAAATACGAAAAAAAGTATAAATACAAAAATGTTTATAAGGTATTTTCAGATTTTGGCATAAGTTTTAAGAAAATGTTTCATTGCCTATTCGCAATTGGCACTTTAAGATAGTGCAAATCCTCTTATTCGGCAGTAGACTATTTTTACATAGATAGGTCAACGAAAAATGTACGCTAAAACATGCATTAAAATACGCATACAGTAATAGCGAAAAATAAACTGTTGCCATGATTCCAAGTCTCACTACTTCTGAATATTAATAACTGTGCAATTCCTTTTCTGCAGACTACGAAAACCTATAATGTTTATAAACTTCTGCAACAACAATTTTCAACCACTTTTTTCCTCTAGTTTTTGGTAAATTAACTCGAAAAATTCACTAGAAAAAATGCTAATATAAAATTACTGTATCCCATTGTTTCTCGAACGAACTGAGAGAAAGCAATAGAGGCAACAGCAAAGAAAATATTCTAAATGAAAATTGAAACAAATTTTAGAAATTATTTGAAGAAAAAAATGTCAAAAATGAAAATTTAAATATTTTTTGCAGCATTTTTTGTGTGCGCTATTACTGTCGAAATATTAATTAGACAGTAATTGTCCAATTTTTAGCAAAGTTTCACTAAGTTTCAAATCATGCTTGTTCTCCAAGGCAAAAAAAGCTTATGATTAGAACTGCATATTCATTGATTTACAATTCCATTAGCTTTTTGAATAAATCGTAAAAACTTGCAGCAACTCATCATCTTTAGCACAGCACAATTTTGCATTGTTAATCATAGTAAACGTGTTCACTGAAAATACTACCACCGATCGGTTCACTCAATTCTGTCTATCAAAGATTTCCTCATTTGTTTCGAATAGTTTTTTTTTGTTGTTGTTGTTGTCGATAATTTTTGTTAAACCAAAACAACTGTAGCAAACTCAAAATTATAATAAATCGAAAGTAAACTGAAAAGTTGCAAAAAAGATATCCGTTTTCACAGTGAACAGTGACAGCTATCCATACATCTTACTCGTTTTGGTTTCACTTTATCTTTGTCATAACGTTAAAAAGGTAATACTTAAAATTACCGCTCTCCCTCTTCTACATTCAAAGAAAAAGTCGTCTTTTAAATGTGATATTAAACTTTCCTATTTTTAATTTAAAAATTAGAATGAGCTCAAAATTTCAAATTTAATTAATTGTTACTTCTGTCTTTTTTTTTTTCAGTAATCTTCTGTTCTCCTCTGTCGTGAAGACCACTTAAACTATGTAATACACCCAATGAAGCAGCTGAGTGACAAAGTCATTTGAAAAAACTGCGCCAGAAGTTTTAAATCAGCAATAATTTGTTTGATGACAACTCGAGATTCCTTCAGCCATGAGCAAAAGCACCATTACAAGCTGATCTCCTGCTTGCAACTTCAGTATCCAAAATTGTAGACAAATCATCAGCCCCTGGACTGTACCAATTGCTGTCACAAACTTTTCAAATTCACCTTTACGCTATCCCAATCTTTTTTTTCGGTCACTCTCTTCTAGTTGCCTGTTTTTTGTTTCAGCCAAAAGAATTTCATAAACATCTTAGTCATAAAAAAAAAAAAAAAATGTGCCAACCTAGTGAAACAACTAAACACTTCTGGTTTTTAGGAAAATTAAATAAGTAAAAAATCATTCAAAATAAAATTTGCAGTTTATTCTTCCTGAAAACTAAATAAAACCAAAGTTATTTGTTATTTTGAATATTAAAGGCCTTCTTCTATTTATATGACAGAAAAAAAACCCCAAAAAATTTTCTTTACTTTTTTTATACGACTAGCATTGATGCCTTTTTATTCTCTCTGTCAATAATAACAACAATAAAAGCAACAAAAAAGAACCTCTTTTTTTCTTTCTTTTTTAGAATGCTAATTTAAGACATGACAAGAAAAAAAATAAAAACAAATATTTTTGAACGTCCCAAATAAATATATATCTTTTTCCACTCGTCATCATTTTCATTCAGTTTTAAGGCAGATGTAATAAGCTGCAAGCGAGCAGGTGAGAAAATTCTTAAGTGATTATGGCGAAGAGATTTCCAGTCAAAATTACTGCGAGAACCATAGCCAAACATACAAAAAAAAGCTCAAGCGGATAGGAATTCAATTGAACGCCTCCATGGGTAAAAGGACCTCGCAAAAAGACTTATATTTACGATAACATCTGTTCATCACCATAACCCAAATCGCCCTGGACAACGTTCATCTTCACAGCACACATCACATGCATAGACCTTCACACATACATACACTCATAGCAGCAAAACAGCAATGGCAGCAATGACACAACGACAACAAACAACAACAGTAAATTGACCGGTCAAAAAATGAAGCAGATATGCTTCCATTGCTACCACTACCAATAATGCCGGTGCTGCTCTGCTGCTGCTATTGCTGCCGAATAACGACAATGACATATCATTTGGGGACATCGTACAACTTATTATTATGCGACCCCAAATAAAGGCATTCTTTAATAGACGCTGCAGATAGTGTAATATTCACTTGCAGAGCAGCTGTGGACAGTTTTTTGACTTAATGGTCTTGTCTCCTCTTACCATTAACAATCAGTTTTGCTAACCCTTTTTAACCCAACTCTCTCCATTTCCTTTTCTCCCTCCATATTAGCAAATGGTATCTCGTTGTTGGTTGTTAATACAACTTAGTCCTTGCCATACAACCAATTCGAAAATACAATGAATAAAT